ATATATGTACACTTGTAAACGTTCTTTAAGCGTGAAATATAATCTAATATTCAACTATGTTATGGTATCAGAGCTTTCTCTCTGACGAGCTCTTCTTTTGGTTTTTTTTTTCTCTCTTGCAATGGCTTCTGACTCTGCTAATAGTAATCATAATTCTTCTCAGCCAAATCCAATTGTTGCTTTTCTTTCAAATTATGTTCACCTGGTCACTATAAAAACTGCCACTCAATTACCCCTCAAATTGACTTCACTAAACTATCTCTCTTGGAAAGCCCAATTTTACTCTCTTTTTTGGTTTAGATGGTTCTCATCCTTATCCACCTAATACTACAACCGTAAATGGTCAAAATACTCCTAACCCAGCTCACATTTTATGGCTTAGGCAGGATCACCTTATACTGAATGCAATCTTAGCTTCCTTATCTGAATATGTCATTCCTCTTGTTTCCTCTGCTAGGTCCAGTGGAGAAGCCTGGACTCGTTTAGCACGTCTTTATGCAAAACGATCTCATATCTACATAGATACATACATACATATATATACATATATACATACATATAAATGTCACATGTACTTTTAAATTTTTACGTGATTTTATATAAATTTAACAGATAAAAAATTTAATCAGTCGATAAGGTTCTTTAAAAGCAATCCGACAAAATCTAAATGAAAAGTTTCAGTTTTAAAAAATATATGAAAATCTAAGCACTATAAAGACTCAAAAAGCAGTTAAGAGAAACTCCAATATCCAGAGAGCGAAAATTTAAATAAACAAAATAATTGACAAATGGTACCAGAGACGGGTGAGAGCAAGTGTTCCATGCATGCATGTTTTTTTAATTAATAATGGTCACCTTTTTTATCTTTCTTCTTGTTGTCGTTTCATCAATCCACAGAGAGAAACGACAGGAAGCCATTGGTTGGTTAAGGGACAATTCATAAATAACGTAAGAAATGAATCAATTTGCTAGCAGTTTGTTTAGCGTATAAATATACCAAGTGATCCAAAATAGCAGAGTCGAAGGATTATATAATTGGCACAGTAAAAGGGAAGGCAGTATGCCAGTATTCGTGTGGAAACGACGACAAAAACATACGACATGTACTGAAAAACACCACCAGTTATGAAGCGAAAAACTACAGCGAAATGAATTAAACGACGACTTTGGGTAACGGCAGCAATATATGGAACACGACATATTAGTGAAACGACAACAAAATACCAACACATGCTCTTATAACGACACTAAAGGAAGACGTCAATAACATTAATAACTATAGAAACTCGAACGACGAAAGTGATTAAAATCTCGAACACCTTAACCAATCCTAAATGAAAATTGCTCAACTTACCTTGATTTGTTGGGTAAAAATTTTACCCTTTTCATCTTAATTAATACCTTTTAACTAATATAGTTATTTAATTAAAAATTATTGAGTCAATGTTTGTTGGTCAAACATCAAAAGGGTACCATTTAAAAATAAAAAAATAAAAAATACCACTCATAATGGTAAAAATTATTTATACCCCTCCACTAAAAAATAAACAATTACCATCTAATTAATAAAGAGAAAGAAAATTTTTTAAAAAAATAAAAATAAAAAATGTAATAATATTTTATTTCTGTCATTGTTTATATATTATCTTATGTCACAAAAATCTTATAAGTTATCTTTTTTATAACTTATAAGTTATCTTTTCATATCCTCATTTATTTAGGCATTTTCGAAACACATTAAAAAATAAGCGACACCAAAATTGAAATCACTAATTTCAGGAGGAACAAAAGAAAATAAACATAAACATAAAAGTGAAAATAAAAACATCAATAGTAGCTGGATCAGAAGTTCAGTAAGAAGCGAATTAAGTGCGACTAAATATTCTTAATTTTATTTAATGCAAAGCTTTATTTTCTTTTAAAAAAAAAAGTTTTTAGCACATTCACCCTCTAAACTTATTGTGGTTTAGTAAATTGCCCTCTAAACTTTTAATTTTAGTAAGTTACCCCCTCAACTTGTAAAATTATTACGATATGTCCATTTTGATAATAATTGTGTTAAATTAAAGTCGAAAAAGCACGTTCAGTGAAAAATTTTGCCATCCTGATGCAAAGTAACATAAATATTTTAATTTCTTAATTTTTAATCCATTAAATCTGATAAAAAATTTAAGCAAATTTAGTAAAATGGGTACATTACAATAAATTTATAAATTCGGAGGGTTGATTGTCAAAATTAAAAATTTAAATGACAATTTATTAATTCACGATAAATTCGGGGGACAATTACGCTAAAAACCTAATAAAAAAAAAGCTGTGACTTCTTGAAACTCTGGGATAAACAGAAATAATAGATTTCTGGAAATATTTATGTATTATTAACTACTGATAGGCTGGACAGTATACTATATTAACTTCTAAACTAACTAACTCTTTAAACAATCAATAATAATATGACACATAGCAGAGCTAAACTAATCAGGCTAGCTGTATAGTACAAGTACTGGACTAACAAGTAAACTGCTTACCAAATTAACTTCTTAACGTCTTAACGGCCTAATCAGTTATTGGCTAGTTATTAGTTTGTATAAATTGCTAACTGGTTAACCATCATTCTTATCATATCTGGATATACTTGAGAGTTTCATTAACCCAATAGGCAGCTGAATCAGTAGATAATTTAAGTGTTCAGCCGGGCGACGAAGAATGAAAATTAAAAAATAAAAATAAAATAAAATAGATGCATTACAGTACTTTTGGTGCTTAAATGAAAAATCTCCTTTTTAATCGTTTTTGTTTTTTCATTCAAATTTTCATGGTGTGACACTTTTTGCATTGCAACAGCATACACTTTTTTTTAAAAGTTATTCATTTTTTTTTTGTTATAGTATTTTTCCTCGTAAAATTTTAAATTTTTTGGCTAAATCTATAAATCAAAGAAGTAATTATCAATGAGTTTCTTACTTATAAAAGTGAAAAAGACCTGTAAAAAGAAATTATATTGATACCTGCAATATCTATTAAGCGCCCCAAAAACATATATTATTAACGTCTCATGTATAACTCCAATTTAAAATATGTTAAGAACCTAAATAAAGTCTTTTTTAATAGTTTTAATAGTAGTATAAATATGGGGTTTAGTTGGTAGGGAGAAGAGGATCAGATTTATAAAGTGCTAGTGCTGAGCATTATTTTAGAGGTCGGAGATTTTAAAAATCGCTCATCTATCTTGTAATTTTTTATTTTTAGTGTTGTTAATAAAGTATAGATTTTCGGATTACTAACAAAATCACATGCAAGTTGATATGTCTTAATTTCCTCATGTGCCAGAAGCCTATAAATGTCGCAAAAACATACCATGAGGTACGTTAATTAATCATGGAAGATTTGTATTAATATTAAAAAACAAAATTATATTTTATACTTCCATTTTCCAACAACAACCTATCATGTTTATACTCTTCGATAACTGTGCCTGAGGGCTGAGAAGATTTGGATTACTCTCTAACAAACGCGTTGGATAAAATGTGTAATTTTATTACAAAGTATGAATAATCTGCTATATTATCAGGGATAACCTAACATATTATTCTCTGACAATCGATACCGGCAACCAGCCACTGGCAACGGCTAGTGGTCTCTATTGCTTCTAACAAAAACATGGTGATTCTAGTAGATTATCTTTGACAATGGAGGAAATGTGAGTAGAATTTGGCCGATCGTTTATGCTATGTTTGGTATGATGGATAGAAAAGGGGAAAGAAAGAGAAGTAAAATATATAAGTGAATGAAGTAAAATAATTTTCTCTCGTGTTGTTTGGTAGAAGAGAAAAAAAAAAGTGAAAATAAAATATCAAATTTAAGGTATTTTTATAATAATACATCAATACAAATAAAAATATGATGAATAGTGAAGATTAAAATTGTTATTTTACATCTCATTTTTTATCAAACTTGTTTCCTCCTCTTTTCTTCCCAAAGTTGAAAGGATTAAAAATTAGTGAATCTTACGGATTTTCATTTTATTTCTTTCCTCATTTTCTCTCTACTAAACAACCTAAAATTTCATTTTTCTTTATAAAATTCTTCATTTATTTTCTTTTCTCTCTCTTTTCTACCCTACCAAACACACTGTTAGAGTGATGTATATTAAAACTGCAATAGGTAGCAGTGGTATAAATTTCTTTAATAGTTGAAAGGATTAATTTCATAAATTATCTCAAAATAACGGCACTTATCACACTGACCTCTAATTTTCACCATTACACACTAAAGGCCCTTCTGTCAGAAATCCATATGTTTTCATAAAATCCACAATTTTAGTTTTTAACTTTTAAAGTTATTTTCTTAATTTTTTTTCAATTATTAATGTTTTTTTTTTTATAATATTTATCATTCTACGCTTACTGAAATATGATTACTTTCCATCTAAAAATAAATGGAATCATGATGGAGGAGCCTTTTATGTAAAAACATGGTATTCGAGGGTAACTTAATTGATAGAAGTAAAATTGAGGTAAAAGTTAGACAATAGCTATAGTTCCAGACCATTTTATTTAATTAAGGGTTATTAGCATTGCTCGTTGAAATTTTGTTTTCAAATAAATTTTGGTCCTTTACACTAAAATTGGTGAATAATTTTTAAAATTTAATATAGATAATAACATCCATAAAATATAATTACTAAAAATTCAATATAAATAATTACAAATATTCCAACTTTTAATATATTCTAATAGTAGCAAAGGGAACATCTTGTATAAATAATAAATATTTTTGTAAAAATTTCAAGTTAGGACCTACAGGAAACACAACTGCTCTGAAATTTAAAAATTCTCTATTAACCAAAACTATAAAAAACAAATTGAGAGTGATATTGAAAAATTTAAAAATTAAACAACCAAAATAAAGTGATAATATCACATAAAATTAATTGTCCGAGTTTTAAAAAAAATAATTAAAAAAAAGTCCCGTCCTATTTAACAATCCGAGGCATCTAACTTTCTCTAACTTTCTCTACGTTGCGACACTCTTCTTCACTCTTTTCCCCTTAGAAAAAAAAGCGTCAAAAAACCCTGCCGAAGTTCTTTCAGTTTACTAATCCATGGCGACCTTGGATACCGACGTTCCCATGGTTCCCGCCGGCGAGCCCTCGAGCAGCGCCGGTCCTTCCAGCAAGAAGCCCAAGCGATTCGAGATCAAGAAGTGGAACGCCGTCGCTCTCTGGGCCTGGGGTACTAACAATTCCTCTGAACCCTAACCCTAGTTTCTTCGATTTTCCCTTTATTTTCTTGAATTTTAGGGTTTTCGAATGCTGCGACTCGGTTATTCTGTGCTGATTGTGTGGTCGATTCTTTGGATGCAGATATTGTTGTTGATAACTGTGCGATCTGCAGAAACCACATCATGGATCTCTGTATGTTTCTTTATCTTTTTCCTTTCCGTCTTTTCTTGATTTTTGAAATGAAATCTTTATCTTCTGTTGATTTTTGAAATGAAATCTTTATCTTCTGTTGATTTTTGGTGATTCTTTGGTGTTTTCTTTTGTTTTTTGTTTTCTTATGGTTTTCGATTGTTCTTGTTTTCATACTTGTTTGTGTGGTTGGGCGTAATAGGTATCGAGTGCCAAGCGAACCAAGCTAGCGCCACAAGCGAGGAGTGTACGGTTGCTTGGGGTAATGCTCTAATTCTTGAATGCAATTTGTGTGTTTGTTTGTTTTCTTGTTCTGTGTTTGTATTTGTTTAATTATTAGCACTTATGAGTAGATAGTGAATGTAATTGATAATTCTTGTTTCTTAAATAAAGATAGTTTATCTGACAATCTTTTATGTTCCCGATTGATTATTCTTTGGGGGAAAAGGAGTGCCCCATAGAACTTACAATGTATGAAGAAGTAGATTATGCCATAGATATGTAGAAAGACATGTTGTTCTGTTGTATGATGTGGTATTCCCCCCGGTTTTTATTTCCGTTAAAATTGATTGAAATTCAAAAGTGCTGTTTTGGTTGTGATGTCTTCTAAAACTCGGTGATAAGAGCATATCGTTTGGCAACATTTAGGTTAGTCAGTGACATGGGTTTGGGTCAGAGTTCTATAGTCGATTTCAAGATTCCTTTTGTACTTCTAAGTCTTATAGTTCGTCGGTATGACCCCTGGGCTTGCCCGACAGCCGCCCTTTTTTATGATACACCTTGTCTCTTGGTTGCTTTTATTGCTTTGTATTCATAGTTGTGAATTGTAGCCTTTGTAGGTTATATGTAGTCCCCTCAATTAGGTTATTCTATAAGATATTTATTAGCTTATACATTTGAAGTGAACTACTCATTTAAACTTGAAATTGTCATTCTCTCGTATTATTTTTAAGTTTCACTCTCTAAAAGGCCATTTCTCAAATTGGCCTGCCTACTCGAATTAAACTCCTTGTGTAATCACGTCTTGTCTGTCCTATATAATATTGAGATGAAAGTTTTCTTCCAAATGTGGAAGGTAGATTCCTGTAGTGGTATATGGTATTTAGATGCTTCAGATATCAATTACATTAGTATCACTATTCTAGACTACTTGGTTTTTTGGATTTTGTAATCTCTTTAAGCTGTTTTCGATTCCATTGATTTACATAATGACATGTCTTGCTTGTTTCAATTGTTAATTGCTTGAACCAGATGATGTCTGATTGTCTTTTATCGAGGCATAAAGTGGATATTTAACTCGAGACATGTGTTGTACATATCACTGTTTTGTCTCTCTTGTACTCGTGATGGATAATTTTTTTATGCACTCTAGCAATTTCGTAGTTTTATGTATACTCTTGTCTCTTTAATTAAACTATTGGTCCTATGTCTATAGGGGTCTGTAACCATGCGTTTCATTTCCACTGCATTAGCCGATGGCTGAAGACACGTCAAGTTTGCCCACTGGGTACGTTTTGCACTTCTTACGCTCCTCTGCCCCACTCTAGCGGGTCTTCTCTTTAGATGCTTATTACTTCACATGGTTTTTACTTTTTCCTCTGCTTTGGTCGTCTTGTTAAAACAGATAACAGTGAGTGGGAGTTTCAGAAGTATGGGCACTAGAAGCCTCATGCGGTTGTGTAGCTGGGCTGGAGATTCTACTCTACTGATGTTAAGAAGGATCCTTTTCTTCATTTTATTGTCAATTCGACTGGATTTGCTCATTTAAGAGGCATTGGCTTTGTTTGATGATTAGCTGTATAAAATACCAAATGCAGACTACCTTGTCCTGTTATCAACATTGAGCCAAAACTATTAGTAGAATGCTTTAAGGATTCGTTTTAATACTGCAGCATACTTTCTAGCACTCACTTTATCACTCTATGCATACTCTATACATTCACTGTTAAACGTGCGGACTCTATTAATTTAATATATTATTATGTAAATAGAAATTGAGATAGTAGAATTTACATGTCAAAAAGTGAATGACATAAAAAGAAGGCGTTAACATTTCTCTTTTTAATTAGCAGTGAGGTGCAGGTGCCTAGGGTTTTATTATTATGTGCTGTGAACTTACGCTTCAATTATGATTTTCAGCATTGGTACTATGAATGATCTACAAAATTTTCTAAGATTATAAAGGGTATGTTTGGTTCACGTGTTTAAATAAGTTTAAATAAGTGATTCTTAATTTTAATATTTAAATTTTAAATTTTTTTATAAGAAGAAAATATTATTGCAAAAGCAAAACTATTGATTTAAACGTTTAAAATAGATGAGTTCAGAGTATATCATAGACTCATGTCACGTGTCTGTTTTGCTTATTTATTTTTAAAATACCAAAATAAGAAAAGAAATTAACGAAAAGATTAGACATGCATGTGTGACGACAACATGTCACCATGATTTCCATTATAAAAAAAAATGTCGCCATTCCTCGATCATATATACGTGTCTGTTTTACTTATTTATTTTTAAAATACCAAAATAAGAAAAGAAATTAACGAAAAGATTAGACATGCATGTGTGACGACAACATGTCACCATTATTTCCACTAAAAAAAAAATGTCACCATTCCTCGATCATAATTTCAGAAAAGAAAAGATGACAACTTGGGGTGTACATTATGACAGCACTACTCAGTATCAGTCATAATATTGCATAGATGTTTGAGAACATGTCCTTCCATGAAAAAAGAAACAAACGGAGTGTTTTTTTTTTTTAAATGTTAATTGTATATTTAGTATTAACATTAAAAATTATGATATGTTATGTTATTTTAATTTTAATTTTAATGTATAATGTTATTTAAAACGTTAAATTTATTTTTTTTATGATTATTAAGCTTTGAAAATTATAAAAGTAAATTTTTATTATTAAAATAATTAAAAATTACAAAAATTACATTGATTACATGAAAAAAATAAACATTTCAACCAATAGTAATCAAATATCAAATTTCTCATATATTATACTTAATGAAAAATTTATCACAAAATATAACATATAAGAAATTTAATACAACAAATAACATTATATTATAAAGTATTTTTTATACTCAAATATTAAATTTATAATTGACACATTAATTATAACAGTGCATTAAAAATGCTCTAAACATTTTTCAATTTTGACAAACCACAACGGCATAACCCAACCTTGAAATACCTTCTCTTTTTTTTTAGAGAGAGAGACCTAACAATGAAATATTACATGAAATATATATATTTTTTATTCCAAGCGACATTAGAAAAGCAAAACATGTTGTTAGGACAATAATAAAAAATAAAAAAAAAATCTGGGTCACAAGAACTCAAATTGACCAAAGAAATTTCAAGTCGGAAAGAAAAAAACTCGTCGCCTGAGAGATTCGAACTCTCGCGGGGAAACCCCATGTACTTAGCAGGCACACGCCTTAACCACTCGGCCAAAGCGACGTTGTTGGAGCTATAGTCTCACATTATATTATATAACAATATCACTGACCGTCTAATCTCCACCACCAAAATTTTATGTTCTTATGCATGTAATTACAATAAATAAACATATGGTCTGATGCATGTAATATAAACATTAATATATTCATAAACTAATCCTCTCTCAGTATTCGGTATACATTTTGTGCACAAAGAAAAAGAGGAAGTATTCAGTAAACTTTGCAGTTTTCAGTTGTTATTGTTGCCCACTAGAGCCACTCATGGTCGTGGGGAAACCAGTTTGGTGTAAATTTCTTTCAAACTAGCTTCGTGACTAAAGTAGATGCTGTTGACATCAATACATTTTTATTTTATTATTCAATTTCTTTTATCTGTCATCAAATTTAACTTTAACATCTTGATATTTGATATGCTAAAAAGCTGCCTCTAGATAGACTCTTGCTCTTTAACTCATAATCCATAAAGCACTAAAGCAGCCATTTTCTCCACCTCCTTTTTCGCTTCCTTTTACTGACTTTTGGTTAGCAAAGTTGTGGCCTTAAAAATCAATCTATTACCATTACACCAAATATGTTTTTTCTTCTTCTTTTTTTTTTCTCTTTTTGAGAAAATTGCTCGACTGACTGATAAAAGTGCATAAATCTAGATTTTTATCACTTACTCTTGATTAGTACCCTTTTATTAACATAATTTTTGATTAAAAATGGTAAATTAAGAGTAGGTGGTAAAAATTAAGGCTATACGATATTTGTCAAAATTTTTAAATATGTTTTCATAATAACAGTAGAAAGGAAAAAAAAAAAAAGAGTAATTAATAAAGTAAAGAATAGAACACGAAGAGGGACAATCAATATTGAAGCAAATATTCTATGTTAATTTTACAATCGAAGATCATTACACCAGTCCATTTTATTACTGACTATTTAACTATAAGAATAATTATAAGGTTTCTGTTTTTTTTTTTTTTTTTTTTTTTGGTTCAACGGGATTGTCATTTCATCAAACGAACCGTGTCATCATTTCTTTCGATTTAAATACCACGGGACTTGCGGCAGATTCCTTTCCCTATTCATTTGCCACTAGCGTTTCTTCTTTACTTCAACAGATTACTGTGTTTAATTTTCACTTAGTCCAGGATAAAGTAAGAAGAAGTTAATAATTAGCAAGGTACACTTGTCACCAAATTCCTCAAATCTAAAGATAGTCTTCTTTCCGTAGAAAAACGACAATTAAAAAGGCTGCAAAATTTGTTTAGACTTGTCTGTGTAAAGTGGGAGTTAATCATCAACAACCCACAACAAAAGGGCGAGGAAAAAGTGATGGAACTTTCTGGCTTTGGACGTGTGTGCCCTTTAAAATCGGACTTCACTTTGAACATCATCATCTTTATAATAATAATTCATTAAGGGATATGATTGTGTTTTTATCGCTAATCATAACTAATCTTCTTAAAAGACATGACCCGCCTGGGCACGCCTATCAATTAGGCATTATCTTTCTTGTTACTCCAAAAAAAAATCATCTTTTTTCCCTAGACTATTGTTAATGGTACTATTCCCCAAAAAGAACGGAAAATATTTTTTCAACAGTCAACCTTGGTAGTGATAATTTTCATCTAATTTGACGATATGAATTCGAAACAAGATATTTAAAAAAAATAATACTCAGTTTAAAACTGTTAGATCACATTAAAAATTTGAATGAAAAAAGTATTATTGTAATTTCCTACTAACGTTAAACCAAGGTGTGTTATCTGTATTATTTTGAAAAGATCTGTTCAGTACTTCAAACCAAGAAGACATGCATTTTTTTCAAGTACACAACGAGAGATCATTACAACCATGCAAAGGATGTCATGATGGTGTTTTTGTTCATGCCAATGCCTCTTTAAGTCATCACAACTGTGTCATTTTCTCGAGTTTAAATTTCCAAAAGAAAAAAAAAAAAAGTTCTTGATAATTGATGGAGATAGTGGAGTTGTAACTTTCACTGTTCCACCGCGTGCTGATGAATGTGCTCCAACGCGTACGTTAATTTGCCACTTCAAAGCTCAGAACGATTCGAAAGGTTAACCTATTAGAAAAAAGTAGCTCAAACCCTTTTAAACTCAATTTCAAATCCATATTTCTTAAAAGTGAAAAATCAGAAAGATCGCAACTCCATCCAGATCTCCACCGCGTTCACATTACGATGGAGTTTCCATCTCAACTCTTACGTAAGTCATGTATGAAATATGACTTTAATACCACTTGTTAGGTTCTTGAGATTACTTCCTAAAACAAGGATAAGTAGCCCAAATTCTTCTGAACTCTGATTCTATATCGCTAAAGACTATTCATAGGAAAACCCACTCAGATATTCCATTTTCACTCATAGATTTGTATTTTTGAATTGTTAGTGCTCTCTGGGACCTGGGCGTGTACGGGAAAAGAAAATATAACAGTTTTTTTTTTTTTTTTTTTTTTTTTTTGGGGTTTGGATGCCACTCACAAAAGGGGGCCATCACATAAAAAAAGAACTTTTTTTTTCTTTTTTTAAGATTCCATATAAAAAAAAAATCTTAGATATATAAGAAGTGGGGAAAAGTAGCTCTAATTTGGTAGTGAAAGAAAGACAGTTGTTGCACAAAAGAAGTGGGGAATGGTTTATGGCCCTCTTATCCAATATATTGATTTCTATGCCTTCTCTCTCTATATATATAAACATATACATATATGAGCTCTATAAGATAATTGTAATGTGAATTTGATTTGAGGCTGGATGGAATCATAATGGGACCACGTCATCTTAATTACCCACTCTTTGCCTACCATAGAGATTTGCACCAAATTGTCGGAAAGTGGCCTTGAGAAAGATTCATTTTCAACTTTCTAAAGGTCTGTTTAGTTCGCTGATTTGAGTTAAAATGTGATTTTATGTGAGAGTTTTTTATTGTAACAAAAAAGTTATATGTTACTGTTTTTAAGAGTTTTTTACTGTAACAAAACTCGAATCGGTGAAATGAACGAGATTTAAGTGTAAAATCGTGATGAGTATTTACCTTGCACAGAATCATTGGCTTTTTGCTCTAGTATATTATAATTTCATGCCTTGTACAGCCACAACCAAATAAATAAATAAATTATTAAAATACTGCCTTATACTTAACTTTTTCTTTCACTAGGAGATATGGTTTTTATGCTAGAGCTATATATTATGCTTATGTATATATCAGCGTTGTTTATATATTGGCATGTGATTCAAGTAACGATAAACAAATTCTTCAATTCATTCCTTTTTAGTTTCTTTATGGCATATAAGTTGCATATGTGCCAGTTCAGACATCTTAGTTCAAGTTAATAAACAAACTGTGCTCATTATTCATTTAAGCATGATACTATGATTCATACATCTTTTCCGGTGTCCAATATTCAATGAAATGTCACCTTCAAAAAAAAAAAACAAAAACAAAACAAAAAAAGTCAAC